AATGACTGCGTTTAACACCCACCATGCATACTGAACGAATAAAAATGTGAAAACTACTTCTTGATTTATCGGTGAACATTTTTAAAGGTAGGTTAGTTGACAAACTATTTGCACGAACTGCATGCATAATTTTCAAACACTTCGTTGTTACTCCCAAAATGGAGTGGCTTGTAATTAAATTACTTCAGTGCATCTGCTAGTATCGACTGCGGGAAATAAAGAGAGCTGCAATGACTTTCATGGTCTTAGCTTCTGGGTTTCTTTTTAACAAATACAGGGTCAAAATTTGTCTAGAAGAAAAACTTGCGCAGGTGACAATTTTAGCAAGCTCCTTGAAGTACGACGACCTATTTTCAATTTCCATTTTGTGTTATGCAACTTCGACTCCCCTCTGAGAAGCAGTCACAGACGTTGGTTGATAGCATCTTCACTCATCTTTTTGTGCATAAAATGTGAGTTTCTTGAGGATCATGTGTAGGTTTCTCGAAGACATTCAGCTGCCGTCAGGCCTTAAGACCTTTTGCAAGAATGACTAGGATAATTGAGACAGTGGAAGGCTGTGTGAATGACGGACGAATACGCTCTCCAGGCGCATTTAAATGGTTACAATTTACCATCAATTAAACCCGAGTATAGGATTAATGTGGGAACTTCCGTAGAGTGTGTATTTTTTTATTAGACTGCCTGGTTAACACTGGTAGATGTGCATAGTTAAACCCCATCTGGCCGACAAGTTGTAAGGGTTACAAAATAAGGGCTAAGCACGGTGCACTGTACTATTAATGGAAAGGACATTGGACTTTACATGTATTATGCTACGTCGATAGAACGCATTTCAGAATGCAGCAGCCTTGTACCTTCTACAGCGTGTCCACAGTTTTACGGAGAGGGAGGCATGATTGCCGGAACAAGTGCTTTATTATTCTGAAGTTTCGGATTCTCACTTGAGTCCATCGTCAGAGTCAGGGCCAGGTAAGGGTAGTGGATTGCCCAGGATGTAGTTTCTAGGCCGCTACATGCCTGCATACATTGTGCCTTCCAAAAATCTATTCCACTTCGAAACGTGCACTGCTTGCCAAGCCTGAGAGAAAGGTTAATGTTCGCAACACGTCCGCCCGAAACATTATCATGCTTCAAACTTGCATTTCTCTTACTAGCCCCACTTTCCTTGAACAATCGAATGTTGAATCCTGTTCTTCCAACCTGACAGCGTTTTTAAATGAAATTTTCGATATTTGCTGCCCTTTTGATACTGTTATGGTACGGCCGGATAGAATTTCTTCCCCCTATCTGAAATCGCTAAGACGTAAAAAGAACTCCTTTACAAGCTAGGCTTACGTGATAACCTTAAGGACGTTACCGTCTTAATAAAAACAGAGATTGACAGGCTAAATAGCCTGTTTGTCAGGCAACGTTTTTCCTCTTCTTACTCCCGCCCTTTCCCCCTTCTTCAGCTGAGATTTGGAAAAATCTTAAGTGTCTCACTGGCCATCGCAACACGCTGGTGCATGTGGATGCAGATTTAGACTCCCTAAATAAAAATTTTATATTTAGTCACAATGACTCCCATCTTCCCTTAGAAGACATTCCCCTATCACCGAGTGCATTCCAACCCGTGTCTTTGGCAACAGTAGAGAAACACCTTAAAAAGGTCCGTGGATCAACAGCTGCCGGACCGGATGGTGTCTCGCCTTTTCTTCTTAAATCTTGCAGTTCTCAGATAGCCCCTATTTTAACGCACTTAATCAACATGTCTTTCATGGAGTCCAAGATTCCTGACGCCTGGCGTACAGTGAGAATCACTCCCATCCCTAAAAAGCCTGCTAACTTTGGTCCTAAATCTTTTCGCCCAATTGCCTGCTCCTCTGCAATACTAAAGCTTGCTGAAAGAGTTGCCCTAGATACCATAAAACCTTTTTCTTCCAGTTTTTCTGACCCCTTACAATTCGCATACAAAGCTAAACGGAGTACTTTAGATGCTGTCGCTCTTGTGGTCCACTCTGCTCTAAAAGCATTAGACAAGGGTTGCCGCGAGTATGCGTGCGCTTTTCTTGATTACTCCTCCGCCTTCAATACCGTCCCGTGCCCTCTTCTCCTTTCCAAAACCTCCGCATGTGGCTCTCCAGGCTGGGTCGTCTCTTGGCTGAGCGATTATTTTACCTTCCGCACGCAATTTGTCCAATCTAGCAAGCGGAAATCTTCGACCCTTCCCAATGACTGCGGTGTTCTTCAAGGTTCCATTCTATCCCCCCACCTTTTCTCCCTCCACACTGATGATCTCAGGTCCCCTAATGACTGTCTTCTGGTCAAGTATGCTGACGATGTGGTTGTTGGACACCCTCTCAAAAGTCAGACACACCTCCGGTCTCTAAAGGATGGCCTAAACCATGTCCTAGCGTGGTCGGAGGAAAATGGTCTCCTAATTAACAACCAAAAATCCGTTCAGTGTATTTTTCGACTGCGGCCCTCTCCTAACCCTGATTCCTCTGACATTCTTCCTAATGAGGTATCCTCTTTCAGGTATCTCGGCGTTACTTTGTCCTCAAATCTTTCTTTTTCCCTCCATATTGAGTCCCTATTTATTAAAGTTCGTAAACTTCTTTACTACATTCGTCGTTTGCGTTCCTACCACACACCTCAACCCTTAGTCTGGCGATTCATTGATGCCTGCATTCTTCCTCTTATCCTATACTGTTCTCCTGTCGTTTTTCCTGCTTTGTTAAAAAAGGATCTTTTAATTTTGAAACGAGTCCTCCGCATGCTCTCTTCTGCTGCTGGCGTTTCTTATATTTTTTTTATTTGGCACAATCTTACAACGACACTTCAATGCGGTCAAGCAATTTGCTGGTCGAATTCTAGATGACGTTGCCCATCCCCTACATTCCGATCTTATGTCTGCCAAGTCTTCCCGCCCGATGCGCCGCAACTTCCGTCTTATACCCTGTCGCACATCGGCTTATCGAGCCTCTGTATCACCATTCCTAGTGCGCTATCTTACGTGCGAAGAGACAGAAATACAGAAGCTCAGACTTGAACTATCCCCATAATAATCGTTTCTTTGACTGTTGAATAATCTCTTAACTTATTTACTACCCACAGTGAATGGAGCCAATTTTTTGCTGAAAATTTTGAACTTACGATTTCAAAATAAAGCGCATTCCTCTCTCTCTCTCTCAGTTGACAGATCCCGAGTGCATCACAACTCGACTGGCCGGGTGATGAAGCATGTCGTTGTCATGCAGTTGTTATGCGCCTGTATGTGGGTCGAGATCATCGGCCCCCACACTCATCGCACGTCGCTGAGGGACTGACTACCGGATTTCGTCATCTGTGTGGACTCTTGGCTGATTATGCTCGCCGACATTGAAACCGGGGACAGTGGTTATCCGCACGCTCTCCTCGCGGCTAACTACTTTGTCTAGGCTAATTCTCAACACCGAATATGGAGCGGAGAGGTTGCTGCATTTGTTGATTGATTGATGATCAGAAAACCATGATTCGAGCAGTTCGCGGCTCACGCGGTTGTCGCCCCTAGCGAGGATTTCTGCTTCGTTAAACTTAAATGCGTGGTTGGCTCCAGTCGAATGAGCCGCGACTTGGGAGTTGGCGTCGTTCCTCCGCACTGCTGCCGCGTGCAAGGCCAACCGCGTCAGGAGTAGTCTTCCGGTTTCTCCGGCATAATTTCTTTGCCTAAAACTGCACCAGACCCGGTAAACGACTCTAGATGTTTCCTGCCGTGGTAATGGGTCTTTCGTCCCCATAACCTGGCGCCCTATGGCTGCCTCCTCTCTGCGTGCAACTTCAATTCCACGGAGTGTAAGAAGGCGGCTGACGGCCTCCGAGACATTTTTCACCCACGGGACAGCTCGCCAAAATTTGAGGTTAGTTGGATTTTATCCCTCGCCTCGTTAACGGAGGCACTGGTTGACGAAGTTGAACGGGTGGCCATTTACTCTAAGCACCCGAGGCAATACCTGGGAAATCCACTATCTGACTCTGACTCTGATAATGGATTCGAGTGAGAATCCGAGACGTCGGGCTAATAAAGCACTCATTTCAGCGATCGTGTCTCCTTCTCCGCGACTGCTTCCTGGAGCTCACCACTTCGCTTCTATTGTCTACAGTTTTGTCTGTTCTCAATGAAGAGCTGATTTAGAAGACTGCGCATCGAATGCAAGTTGCTTTCAGTGCGGAAACTCGTGAAAAGAGTCTTATCGTGCTGATTCTGTCCTATCCAGTGAATAACTTCACTGTAATTACGCTTCCATTCCGTGAGAGTAATAGATTTCTCAATGCCTTTCTGTCGCCTATTGTAGCCTGCGCAACATCTTACACATGCGAACAGGGACAATTTTGTTGGTGGCGCAAATAATGTGTACTTAGGAGGTCAGCAATTCGACTACGTCTGGCAGTACACTTTTCTGTTCTTCTGAGTTTTGTCAATTCATCGCTGTCAGGTGAATTTGTAGTTTGACTGGTCTTAGAGAAGTTGGCCCTTACGTAAATATATATTCTTGTAGCTGCCAGCTCCCGCAATCGCCAGCGATGCCGCTTACTCATGCCACCTTCAGTTCGCCTTTGTGCCCCGTCAATCGATCGAGACAGCACAAGGATGGTGAAGTGAAGGTCGATAGCCGCTGCGCCCTTCGCTGATTGGTCACAGGCGGGCAGTACTCAGGCGCATTCAATAACCTTGTCTTCCCTTTATTGTAATTTGAGAACCCGCGAATTATCAACCCATCGCACCCAGAGCATTCATCCGAAATGACCATGACCTTGACGCCCAGGTTACAAATAAGGCAGTAAACTGAAAGATTAAACGTCTTCCGTTTAAAATACATATGTAGCGAGCGCGTATAAAAAGATGGTACAAGGTAACACCCAAAATGGTCTGTTGAGTGTGCGTGTGTGTATATAAAAGGACTGAACGCGTCAGGAAATACCGGCATTGGAAGCGAGAGCGCTGTCCACGTTCTGGACGATCTGGGTCGGCCCAGCCGTCAAACCTCCACCACAAATTCGGGATTGACGAAGGAGAACCCGGCGAACTCTGTCTGTGTCAAGTTCATGATGAAGAGCTTGTCGGTAGGCGTGAACTCCGTGGACATCTCAGTGAACGCAGGGTCGAAGTTGCTTATATCACGTTTGCCAGTCTGTCATTTAAGAGGGAAAAATTGAAAAGGCCTTGTGCGACCTGCAAGTAGCACGTCAACTCGTTTACTATACCTCAACTGGTTAAATAGGTTGCTGATTTCTTGGTGTGGTATAATTCAACGAGTCCTGATGGAGGTGGAATGTTGTGCAGCCAACAGTTACACAAGAAAAAGAGTTTAAGTGTTGCATGTCGTATGCAGTCGATCACACTCACCGTAAAATCATACCGACGCAAACTTTAGCCACACATTTGGCGTTCTTATTATGCCTGCATGTACGGTGGGTGACCGATCTGATGAAATGTAAGCCGAAATTCTGAAATATGTTCTCGATTAGGAAGAATTACTTAGGTGGGATTACAACACTGATTATCGCGCGGCATAATCCCACAATACCTCGAACTCGCCAGGTTGTTGCCTTTCGAAGGCACTCATTTTGACCTGCAACAAGCGCATTCGGGAAAAATGATTACTTACGTGACATATATTTTTTACCTTTCTTGTCGGTAGCCTTATAAGGTCAGGTATATTTTTTTAGAAAACGTACACAAAAATATGCTTTCTTTTACTTATCTGGCAGCATAAAACGTCAAATTTACATCTTTTACTAGAAGAAAGAGCGTCCTTCGGTTTCAAAAGTTTCTAATTGTGGGGTTTTTGAAGACTCTGTAATAACCATTCACTCAGCATCTTGCTTGTACATTATGAACGCTACTCATACAGTATACAACATAGTTTGCATCCATTGCCCAATTTTCTTAACTTAACATAGCCTCTTACTAAATACATAGAGGAGTGTGATTTTTCTTACGTGGAAAGTATACCCCTTGTGAACTGTAATCGCCAAACGCTAATGCAACGGCCGATCTGGCTTAAAATTATTGGTGAACCGGAAAACTATCATCAAAACCTAAACTTGACTCTTCTCCGAGTAATAAGTGTGAAGATGGCGTGACCCGTTTCCAAATGTGGTAGAAAGAACACGTTAGGTGCATGTTTTACATGGGATATATTTGCATTTGAATTTATGCTGTCATCAAAAATCAGTTTGAAAAACGCATACTACTTGTGGTCATTTTCACTGAACGCGGTTTTTACAGGTTGCAAAAAAGCGTATCCAAAAGCCGACATCCTGTTGAGTCCGAAATATTATAGGATTATGCCGCATGCTAAATATTACAACCTCACCCCCGTAAACTCCTCCTAATCGAAAATGCATTTCAGAATTGCGGTCATCATTTCATGAGATCAGTCACTAACTGTATGTATATTAATAAACGGTAGAAGATCTTTGGTAACAAGATGAAACTTGTTTTGAAAGCATCCAATCTGATTTTTCAGCTCAACGTCAGACGTATAATCATTGCTAAAACCATTGAACGTTTTAGCCGGTCATAACACTTCTATGATTAGCTAGTCTGCGCCAACATATCTCTATCGCATCCCATCATCCGGTCACGACTGACTAGAGTCGTCTTTATTTGTCCTTGAGAATCTTGTTTATGCAGCTTTCAAATCGATATAATTTCGGCAGGACTGGCTTAAATAGCCCCCTAAAGAGAACGTGCGAATAGGAACACCCCGCCCAGGTTATAAGGGCGAACCTGCGCATAATTCTAGAAACGACAAAAGATTCCCGTGTCCCAACCCCAACAATAATCCTTGTGTAAAACTAAGCGGTTGCCCTAATCCTGACCCCAACTCTACCCCAAACCTTAGCTCTGCAGTCAACACTAGTCCCTACCTTAGTCTTCAGCTTGATCCTGACTTGCCTTACCGTTAACTTCAAATCTAGCCTTAAACTTAGTCTTAACCCTAATTTCACTGGAGGCTGGCTCGAAGCCACCCGTACTGCAGGCGGTTCCTTTTCTCATTTCCTGTTTAGGGGGCCATATAAGTCAGTCTTACTAGACATATATGTATAGAGGACAAATACGAATACTGTCGTCTCGCTGTATTATACCGTGCGTGAACTAACTCATAAAACTTGGTGACGAGACCTGGGATTTTTAGACACCTTAAGCGTTAAGCACTTTGTTCACTTGTCTTGCACCTTCCGGCAAATGTCGTTTTCTCGTGTGGAAATGTGCCTAAATTATTTTAAAAGGTAAAAAATTGATAAATCTGAGTGACTATGGATATTGCGATATATTTGGCAAATTACATACGCTGGTACCTTTCCCAGACTTCGTTTTCGCTTCTGAGAGCGTTTTCCTCTGAGAAGAGAGTAAGTTGTACATAAGCGTTTTGCTAAACAAAGTTAGCCGCACTTAAAAATTGTTTTTGTCTGGTGCTAATTGTAAGAATATTTAAATTTGAAATTCACTGAAAAGACTATTATCAAACGTTATTATACGCGTACTATCTTGATTACTCAGTTTTTGCATGAAGAAGCCTTCTGTGTATCTAAAATGAAGTTATTTCAGTTGCAGCCATTTTACCGTTTTCGGACTTTTTCGTTTTTCTGAAGAATTAAATGTTCTAAAAAAGGAAAAATTACGTTTAATATTTTTTTACGTTTTCGGTTTCCCCAACGTTGTTCTTTATTTTTACAGATATTGGGTCCTTGCATTTTTGCCGGTTTGCGAGTGAGTGGCACCCGTTTGTAAACTTCGACACCTTTCAGCAGTTAGGTCACCCAATGTACTTTAAGCACTATTTTATACCGATTTTAAGCCCTCTGCAATTACTGCGTTCAGACCTCAAGCTTTGGGCGAGAGAAATTTGTGATTGCTCGCTCATGCCCAAAGACTAGCAAGATGCATGACTCGATAGTCTGCAAATCAGTCCTGCTTTCTGGATCTCGCGAACTTTTCAACCCAAATTCCCTTGTGTCTTTCAACCTTGTTGCTCGCATCGGCCACTCCGTAATCCCAGCCAATTTGGCCGTGTAAGTGGTCTCTCAGCCAAAGTGTACGGATTCTCTGCTGACGTTTTGTTACACAAGACTGACGCCTGACAATGCCCTTACATTGTATCGTAAATCCTGGCAAAATCGGCTAGTAATTGGCATCGTGAAAAGTCAGATCAAAAACAGCAGTGGACAGATGCGGGAGACGAGAGAAAAATGTGTGAAACTTTTGAAAATGCCTCGGAAGTAAAAGGTGCTCAATTTTGAGAGTTATGATATTAATTCATAGAAAAAATAATGCGAGCCCGAACGACTTAATCTTACCTATCGGCCCTTGTTTGAAACTCCCATGGCCACATGCAAAATAAGAAGCAATCACTGCATTTGGAGTGCGCAGTTGTCAAGACACCGTCAGGGCTGTATATGTGGTTTAAATTCATTCAAATCTTATAGAAACCATCTAAGAAAATGCATTCTCATTTGCTAGCAAGGGTTCCTATGTAAATATCCTGTATTTTCTGTAGAACGAACTCGGGTTTGCTTTTGTCTCATTAGAAAGGAGTCCTCTTGATTTCGCAAAACACTGGCCTGGATATACTGTAGGTAGAATTACTGAGGAAATGTCGACCAAAATTTCGAAATGCGTTTTCTTTTCGAAAGGATTACTTAAGTAATGATGTAGAACTGATAATCCTGCAGCATTATGCTGTTATAATTCAGTTACCTCAGGAACCTGGCTTTCGAAAAAAACTCCTTTCCGGCAGCAGGCAAAGAGCAAACTCCGCAAAATTGACTACTTAATTAGAATACATTTTTTTCTTTGACTCTCGTTGCCCTAAAAAATTCAATTATATTTCATGAAAAACATGCATAAAATATTCATTCTTTTGCTAATTTGTATTTCAATTTTATGCCCAAAGGAAGGGTCTTTTTCCATTTTTTAAAAGGTTTCCAATTCCCGAATAGTTTTGAACCCTGACTTGCCGGCACAATCGTAGTCAAGGTTTCCAAACTACAAACCGTATATTTTTCCCGTACGGAAGCCCAGACATTTCTCTACGGTATTAAGAAAAGACTGTATAAGGGTTAATCGAATTTGGCATTGAATTTGAGCAGAAATTGTTAACTTCACTATCCACACTGGTAAATGCAGAGGCATGAAGTTTTATGAACAGTCATTTCACGGTATTAAAAATCGCATAATTTTAAACTTATTTAAAACCGAATGATTCAATTCTTTCGGGTAAAAAATTGGAGGAGGACGTAATTTTCTACCGAAAGAGCAAAAGAATGAAAATTTTGTTTCCCGTGAAATATAAGTAAAATTTTAAGAGTGTCGAAAATCAGTGAGAAAAATGCATGCTACTTAAGTAGTCACCATTTACAGAGTGTGGTTTTGAATACAACCGGAAATAAATTCCTTCGAAAACCGGCATCCTGAGGCAACTAATTTTTTTGGGGTTATGCTGCGCGATGGTCAGTTTTACAACCCTACTTAATTAATCTTTTCGAAACGTAAACGCAAAAATGACTACTTAAGTACCATGCAATTTTCTCATTGTTTTTCGATGCCTTTAAACGTTCAATTATATTTTAAGAATAAAATGCATAAAAAATATTCATTCTTTTACATATTCGTTAGAAACTTACGTCTGAATGCAAGTATAACAACAGGTCGGGTTCAGAATTATTCGGGAATTAGAACAGTTTTCAAAACCGAATTATACCCCTCCTTCGAGTTTAAACTTGAAAGAAGGCGTACTTTTCTACCAAATAAGTAAAAGAATGAATATTTTTATGCATTTTGTTCATGAAATATAATTAAACTTTTAAGGGCATCGAAAAGCAATGTGACAATTGCATATGCTTAAATAGTTTTTTCGAGGAGTATAGATCTTGCATGCAGTCGGAAAGGAGTTCATTCGAAAGCTTACACCACGAGGTTACTGGATTATTATAGAATAATGCTGCATGATGATTATTTTTACAACGCTACTTAATTAATATTTTCGAAACGTGAACGCATTTCGAAATTTCGGCTTACATTTCATGAGTAAGCCCACCTACTGAAAAAAACGGATAATCAGCGTTTTTAAAACTTGTGATCTATTGATAAAATGAAAGAAACTCTGAAGTTGAGACTGTAGAGTGACCTTCAGCGCAAAGGAACACGAAACTCGACAACGATCTCAAGTTATATTTTGACAGTGAAGCAGACTTTTGGCAGTGCATCCACGAGGAGACTTGTAAATGAACAGTGGGGGTCAAAAGAATCGTGAATTCCCAAATTCACGACCATTAGTCAAAGCTGGGCAAATGGGACCGACAGGCACATTTATGTCGGACTCAAAACCAGCCTTTTGGGTGCAAATTGAGCATTGCTCTTCTGGAATATCGACCTCCTATTAATCAGCTGATTAGAAACTTGGATAAAATCGGATGTCTTACAAAAAGAGACGGCCAACCCAGTGATTCGGCACCAATCAGTCTGAAAAGCCTATTTTCAAATGTCACCGGTAAATTGGTTGAAATCACTAACTGAATATTGAAGACCAAATTAGGCACTTTTAGAATGGTTACCGTTTTTGACGAGACGATATAAAAGATGAGCCAGTTAGGCTGGCCTTTTGATGCAAAGGTGTTATTGGAAAAACGTCCTTAGAGCATTTTTCCTTTATGGTGCCGACTGGTGTGAGAGACTTTGATAAATAAAAACTGTCCCACCCGTTTCAAAGATTGACTCTAGTCCAAAGGTCTAGAACGGTTAGTGAATATTACAGGAGCACAATAGACATCATTTGCGGTTAATCTAGCATTGTATATTTACAGTAGGTGGGCTAACTCATGAAATGTCAACCGAAATTCCGAAATGAATTTTCGTTTCAAAACGACTAATTAACTAGGGTTTTAAACATAATCATCATGCAGCATAATTCTGCAATGAGTCATAAAAAAGTTTCTTACTGTGGGACTTTTAAGTACCGTGAAATGGCCGTTCATAAATCGTCATGTCTCTGTATTTACCAGTGTAGCTCGTAAAGTTAAAAATATGGATCAAATCCACTGCTTACTTTTATGAACCCTATACGGTCCCCCTTTATTACCGTAGAGAAAAGTGTGGTTTACCGTACGCGGAAAACATACGGCTTGTAGTTTGGAAACCCTGAATCCAAGTGTGACGATTGAGCTGGCTCAAAATTATTCGGGAATTGGAAAACTTTTTTAACACCGAATTATGTCCCTCCTTCGAGGATAGAATTAGAAGACGTAACTGTCTACCGAATGAGCAAACGAGTGAATATTTTTATGCATGTTTTCCATGGAATGTAATTGGAATTTTAGGGGCAGCGAAAATCAATGAGAAAAATGCATGCTACTTAAGTAGTCGTTTTTACCGAGCGTTGTTTTCGCATGCAACGAGAAGGAAATTCATTGAAAAGCCGACATCCCGTGGTAACTGAAATATTATAAAATTATGTTGCACGCTTACTAGTTTAACAACCCTACTTAATTAGTCGTTTCGAAACGAAAACGCATTTCGGAATTTCGGTTGACATTTCTTGAGTTAGCCCACCTACTGTATGACACTCTTGTTTGAAGCACGTCTTAGTTTAACACACTTTTTCTCATTCGCCGATAGCATTCCGCCGACCGTATATATCCCCTGTTGAAGCCGTTTCAATCTTAGTCATATTCATGGGGATAAGCGAATCATAGAAGCATGCAGACGATCTCTACAAGGGGCGGCTGCTTGCCGACGACATTTTTTCCCATCCATTGCCCTTATCTTGATGACGCTCGAATGGCATTGTCTGATTCCTCCTAGTCGTAATCAGCACTCGTAGATACAGAAATATGGGAGACCGTCTTGCTGATTGTGTGTTCTACCTCTCTTTCGCGTCCATTCTCCCTATCTGAGGTAATAATGCATAGCCAAATAGGCGGCCAGGGGTCTACTTGACTAGCGTTTCAAAAACAGGCTTAGGAAGTAAACCATTTTCTTCGCACTGTTCCCTACTCAAGAAGCTAGTACTGAGGAAGTCGTAGGTATGGTCTGTGCTTTAGTCATCTCCCCCCCTATTGCTAATTGGTGTTTGCGAATTTCGGTTAACAATCATAAATAGACAGCAACAGAACTCTTGCGGGAAGTCAGAGTGTACTTGGCTCACGGCTTCTGGATACGGATGCGTCACACGCATCCCTAGACGTTTCGCCAAGCGGAAGACTCCCTTAGGAATCTTTTTGCCTAGATGACAATCCTCAAGACTTATGACTGTCTCTCCGGTGATCAATTAGCGCTACTCGATAAATGAGGTGGACTGCCCATTAGCTCGAAAAGCATTCCGTAGGTAGACTCTCCCATGTCTTCTCTCAGTATACACGCCAAAGTCACTACATTCCCGTGAGAGCAAGTGGTTATCATAGAAAGTCGGGATTTGACGCACAATGTTGGTCCCTTTTCATAGTTTCCGCCATCAGCGCAAACTGGATGTCAGTGTCATTTGGGTGCGGGGGTGCTTTTAGGTAATCGACACAGTTGAACAGCACTCAGGATGTCAGTGGCCTAAAATCAATATCGGTGCCGCCATAGTATTCCGCGCAACAACACACTGTAGCATATATTCAGTTAAATAGTAATAAAATGAGCTAACATGCAGATATTTCTGACACCGAGGGCCAATTAGTGACCTCTTCTCACTCGCTTTATTCAGTTCAAAGCAAGCAATCTAGGATATTGAGGGAACTTCTTCGGAAGTCCAGGTGGACCGCGAAAGCCCTCGTACGACCAAGCCTACCCACATAACGGCCAGACACAAACAAACCTAAAGCGACGGTTTAAACACTTACAACAGGTGGTCGGAATGGTGGTTGTACTGCCTTCGACTCGATCAGTTCCCAGTTTATCCTCCGGAAAAAAACGTGG